CATGTTTCAGACTCGATTAGGTGATGTCTTGGAGTCAATCATACAGTTAGATCGAAACGAGACAATAATGTCGGGACGCAGACGATCTGATTCTTCTTATAGTCTTAGCAAGGTATTAGATTGTAATGAATCAAAGTTATCCTCTATCAAAGAAATTGTTGAACTTTAAATCGGAATTGATTTCGAAGATTGGGAGTAAACACTTTGACACCTAATCTCCATATGTCATTCTTAGCTAAGAACCTAAGATGGGTAGTCTTGGTTTGTGTGCGAGAAGTGTTTAGCGAAGAAAACGAAAAAAGACTGGAATTTTTTTTGCTTCAATAAAGGAAAATTGTATACGGCCAAATGTATAAGGATTAGTCCTGGTATCACAATGTAAAGAGATTGCGCTTTTTGCTATTTGAAATTGGTAAAAGTATTCTTCAAAAATTCTCTGTGTGAAAGGCAAAACTTCCAATGGGACTATCAAATCCAAAATTTTTCGAAAGAATCGGATCCGAGTTTGAGCTTACTCCTCCCTCTGCAATGACTTGTTAATCTATTAAGACATTTGTCTTCCTTTATTTCACAGCTTAATTCTTTAAAGATTGTTGTGTTGACACCAAGAATCACGGATGTAGAGTAGGAAAGAGGTTTCAGAGTGTAATAATCTGGTCAGTTTTAATAACAGCGTGGACCAATGAGCGTTAGGAGAGAAGCACGGAGGTTTTGTCACGACTTAATACCTGAGCAAAACCTTTCACTTGTCTAGTCCACTTAAAGACAGTTTCTGTTGATTGAAGTAGGCTAACGTCGAAAATTTAGGAAACTTTGTTGCGAAGAATTAATGAGACAAGAAAGAAAAGCATGTCTAGCAATGGTCGTATCTAGGTAAAATAAAGATGTCCTTTTAAGAAATAATTGAGTCGAATCAAAACTCTTTCATGGGTAAAAAAAATACCTTCATGCCTGTCATCACTATATTTAACAGCAAGGCCACTAAGACATCAGTGAAATATACAGCTCATTAAGTTTAGATTGACTCCGTTCAACTTCGATGTGACGAACTAGTTATTGGGGCATTGGAAGCGGCTTTTGTGGATATGGTAAGTGAAACAGACGAGTACCCGAAAGATTCGTCAAAGAGAAAACTTCAGGATTCGCAAATTGCAGAGGATAAGCAGACATGGCGAATTTCTGGCGGATGTGCAGCAATCGCTGTTCTAGTGTTTCTTGGCAAGCTTTTCATTGGTACGCTAATTTGCATTATACTTCAGTTTCAAAAAGAAAATTGAAAGTCAATCTATAATGAGTATGTTCAACATATCGTTATTCCTTAAAAGCAGGCTGTGGGATAGAAACATAAGCGCATCTAAGTTACTATAAGAACTTATGAAAAGACAGAAGTATTTGGTTAGCCTACTGAAGCTTTACCAACATTGAGATCCTGTAAGGTAT